CCGCAAGACGCGACCGGAGACTGCAGGCAACCAGGTTTACTTTCCTGTGCTAAGCTGGAAAGGTGCCATGCACAGGTATACGGCCTGGAGACAGTGCAGCAGAATGCCTAGGTACTTGTATCTAAATCCAGTTAGCAGCTGGATGCATGATGAAATGAACATCCAGCAGACCTTTCCTAGACTTGTTGCAACTAAGGATGCCGTTCTTCTTAGGCCTCTTACCCAACAACTGCGCAGGTGCTGCTTCTGTTCTTGGATGCGGGGACAATGGACAATGGTTGCTGGATGGTCCACGCTTGAAACATTGATGTTCAAGATTCTATCGGCACTGAGTTGTCTAGTCGTCTTCACGCAGGGATAACTTGGTGGAATTCTTAGACTGAAAGACAGTGACATACCCATGTTTCATCTGGATTGTGGTCGATAGAGACTTCTCCATCAATAGTTCAACTTTATTCAATGGAGGATTTGACTCCAGAGGCCAAGTATCATGATCCTAATCTTGACAAAAAGATACAGATAGTGGATAGTGTAAAATGTAGAGCAGCAATCTCTAGAAGCGACAAGTGTTGGGGTGGCTAGGTTTTGGCGTGTCACCAAAAAGCCCAGGTCATATATACATATACATATATCACGAAAGCCAGCGATAGGCTAGGCTGAAGTTGGGTTGGGCGAACGAAGTGAGTAAAGGGGTGTGTGTGGGGGGGGGGGGGGTCGCACACGGTCCAATTTCGGAGGGCTAACCCAGAGCCTGTTGGGGGAGAGCGAAGAAAAGAGGTGGCCAGGAGGTAGTGAAAACGCGTGGTATTTGGGGTGTTGTGAAGCAAGTGATGTACAGTAATTGAAGGCGAGCAGTGCATCATTAGCATGATGAGGGGCTCAGGAGGCAATGTAAACCGTTTTCCACGAGGGGATAAGGGGGCGCGAAAAGACGTTGGAACTCCTCCAGAAAAGGGAGATGTGCGCCATCTGGGAAGAGAATGCTGTCGGGAAGGTGGATGACAGGCGTAGCGGAGGAGGAACAGAATGCAGCGGGCAAGCTTCGAGTTGCCTGGGGGTGTCCTTTTTTTACGGTGAAGAGGCCTAGTGGCCTGACTCAAACGGGCACCCCATATGGGGTGGGAGTTCATGTGGATGAGACAGGCGTAGCGGAGGAGGACGTGATAGGAAAAGAGGGGCTGCAAGAAACGATGTTACCCATCGAGGACATGGAGGGAACAGAATACAACGGGCAAGCTTTGAGTTGCTGGGGGGTGCCCTTTTTTGGTGAAGAGGCCTGTTGACCAGACGCAAAATGTTGAAGAGGCCTGTTGACCAGACGCAAAAGGGCATCCCATATGGAGTGGAAGCTCATGTGCAGGATAGACATAGCGGGGGAGGATGTGATAGGAAAAGAGGTGGGGAGCTCACCGACCATATTGATATCTTTACGGTGGCTGGCTTTCGTCCCCTCCCTTCTCAGGTATGTAATCCTTGCGATAGCGCCATGGTTTCGATGGAGGGATTGGTCATGGATTTTGCCTGGAAGCATCAAGTCAGACATTGCTGCAACCCCTTCCCACAAGTCCTGTATCACATGGATCAACGTGATCAACCTGTTGACCCCCATGTACAAACTCGAGGGGGAACTGAGCGACTGCCCGCGCCAGGCTCGAAGCTTCGGATCTATGTCTACGACACCCAGCCGGGGACCTCACCGGTGCAAATCGGTTAGGACGGTTAGGATATGGTAGGACTAGAGCACCAAACGCAATGTTTTTCCTGAAGGGTACACCCATCACATGTGGTTGAAATCCTTGTCGCCGCACGAAGTCTTTTCCCACATGGCAAAAACACTGGACTGCACTGCAAGTGAGCTTTCTAGCAGTTTGGCATTCCGTGGCTCAAAGATTGCAAGTCTGGGAAACGAGATACTGAAGGCCAGGATAGAATAGAGAAGCGTGGGAAGGTCATGGGACGTGAACATCCCGACCTGCAGGTCTTTCTCCGTTGGCTCTATCTTCTGCTCCGCCGGCCAGTGCCGCGCTCGGGGTGATGCGGGGTGCGGGTGGTCAGAGTCTCGGGCCTCACTTGCGGTGTTCAAAGGCCAAGAGGTAGAGCGAAGAAAGACCCAAGGGGAGGTGTCCCCTCATGTTCATTTTGGGAGACTCGTACTGCTAACATTGATTCCATTGGTTCCCTTAGAGTATTTTGGAAGACCGTTTTCACTTTAGCAGTTCTAGAATACAATGTCTCAACAGTTGCTGTTGCTACCATGGATTGTCCAGCTTCCTGCCAACCCGGAACATGATGATTTTTTGTTGCTAGCCTTTGCTGCTCATATCGCATTTGCGCTAACATGCAGAACAAGAAGTGGAAACAATGTTACAATATGCTATACTGTTATAGTATGAGCCCATCCAAGACCAACGTTTTTCAATGTGGTTTTACACAACTAAAGTGGGCATGCGAGCGCTAAAACTTGGCATCTGTTCAAGGTGCTTTCTGTTGATTGCAACGAGATCTATGATTTGCTGAGGGCGTGCCATAAAACGTATATCAATCGTATCAATGCTGGACGCCAGTCCCTTTCATGCTTGGTTCCAACTGATTGAAGTGATGCGCCGGGTGCTGCTATGGCATTCTTTGCTGCTTCCTTTGGTCAAGAGCCAGTACCTTTGCAGGGAGTGTGTTTGTCAAGGTAGACTCGCGCGAGTTGAGGGATACCATATCATGACTCGCGGCTGAGCCAGCAAGGGTGAGGACTTGAAGCTTTGAGCAGAATCACGTAGTTTGAGGCCTTTGAACGCTGTTGTTGCTTTTCCTGCAACCTTCTGCTAGGAAGTTACTTGATTCAAAGAGAAACTCTAAGAGAAGCAGATTCCGTCCGCGCATCTTGGAAGGTCCGCACTTTTGGTAGGCTCAGATTTTTGAGATCCGAGGCAATGGCGGGACTGGGCCAGGGAGGTCTTCGTGGATTACATTACCGGCCTTGGCTGTGCGCAATGCAGCTTGGATTTGCTAAAGCAACCCAAGGGCCACATGGTCGTGGGATGTTTGGAGTGGTGGAGTGGGAAGGGGTGGTAGACCATGGACAGCTGTGGAAATACTGGAGTATCCCACCAGGAATCTTCAGAACCCTGTCTGTGGGAATTCGTTCGCTTGGAGAGAGTGCTGTAACATACTGTAACTAGTTTTTGATCCGGTTTTGCACAGTACTGCTGTTCCAAACGTGTCCGCACCACCACCCCAAGCCATACATGACCACCTGTTGATTGTCGAATGGATGAAGCTGCAAAGTCTAAAAATGATCTCAACGCGTAGGTCGACCAAGTCTTTCATTGGCGAGGAAATCCTCAGGGTATTATAGAACATCACCCAAAAAGCTGGACAGGTCCATGGAGCTTGTTGGAGTTTTTGAGGAAGGGGCATTCAGCCACCACAGAAGGAGAAAACACACTTAGATTGATGCTCGCAAGAGCTAAATCAGTTGACAAAGTTCCACTTTATTGCAATTAGACCTTTACACGCAGTTAGACCTTGGCTGAGGGAACGGAAAGGTGAAGAAGTCCGGAAAACAGAAATGTTTGACATCGCTCAGTAGCTCTTTACAAATGCAGGTACGTGAGTCAGGCGTCCCTGACTCATATCACAGGAAACGTGCAGCGTCTTCGTTGGTCGCTGACTGCACGAATCCCCAGCGACGTGGCGTCCCCTGCCTTTAAACTTTTTGTGTTTTTGAAGTGATTTACAGTGTGTGAAGCCTTAGAAACAGGCTTTGACACACACACACACACTTAGACAATGGGTTTGCAGTTACATCAATTCCCTGAGAAAATGAATGAAGGAACGGAAAGGTGGCAAAGTCCGCGATCAACTGAATGTTGAACATATGTTGCACAAGCGCTCAAACTGAAAGTGGCGATCAGCAGCTGCAATGCGGAGAAGGGGTGGTTTAGGGGAGTAGCGTGCGAAACCACCATGGAAACAAAACAAGGAAAGAGTGGAGTCACAGCGTGATCAACAGTTAAAAGAACCCCTTCACAGATCCCTTCACAGAGTAACGGTCAGTGGACTTCGTCTTCTTACCTTTGCGGACGCCCAGATGCGTCATCCACGGATCACTCCTTTCACATCCAAGATATCATTGATATCATCAATATCTGCTAGCGTGCTAGTACAGCTTGCAGTTACAGACGTCTGATAGCTTGAAGTCAATAAACAAACACAAGCACATATTGTTGCGTAGAACTTTGGGCGGGCTTGGGTGCACAGTGCACACACATCATCACAACTCCCATGTCATACGATATATATGTATTATATATATATATATCCCTTATTGCGCTCAGGCGGTGATTTGATGGAACCCAGCGCGGAGTTTCCTTTCCACTTGTCCAGCAACATTTTCGGCTGTGCCGCAGCATGCATTGGGACAGCTACACCTTGGTTTGATGCAGCCACGCCCCGGTTTGACCTTTCAATCAGGAGATGTTGAGACTTTGCAGAAGGGGCAATGCCAAACAGATAAAGCAGGGAGTGCCTTTTCATGGTGAGTCGTCTCACCATGAGAAAGCAGATGAACTCATCCCAAATCCCATCCATCTCCATCCAGGTGCTGATGTGGATGTCCTCTTGCCTTCGCTTCACTGGCTCTACGAGACCTCCCATCACCCCGGCAGGATCCCGGGCATCCTGGTGGATGGAGGTGCCAATGTGGGCCGAGCCTCCGCCCGCTGGGTCGCCGCCTTTGGAGACAGCTCCACAGCCTAAGTGGGTGACCGAGGGGGTGCAGGGACCGACCCGTTGGGATCCGTCTGATTTGTTGAAGTCCAGGAGCTCGTAGCGTCTTTGCTCCCAGTAGCGATGCCAGGAGCCCCTAGTAGCTTCTTGTTCCTAGTGGCTTTAAAACCAATGTAGTCTACAAGTTGAGAAAGAAGAACTTGGACACACTGGAGCATGCTCCAAGGCCGAGCTACGGTAGCCCTGTATCCCTCCTTTTGGGAAAATGGTGATGCTTTTCTGTCTACACATGTCTACACACTTCACGCAGAATCAAGCCAGAACTCGGGAAATGCCATGACAATGAGCACCCGGCATGAGGGAAAATCGCTACTAGTAGCAAGAAGCTCCTAGGCTTCAAGGCTTCGGTCGTTCCTCCCAAGGCTTTGGCCGCCAACTGGGCCAGAACGCTACCACGGCGCCCTGCGTGGTTTGCTCGGGCGCCTCCGCCAACGCGCGGCGTCCGGTCGCACCGGAGCACGCGCTGCCCACCGTGCTGGTCGTCGCAGTGGAGCCCAGTCGCCGGAACTACGAGCTGCTCACGAAGCACGCGCGCGAGCATGGCTGGGGGGCGGAAGGCTTTTTGGCGTTGGAGGTGCGATCGATTTCTTCAAGTTTTGACGAGGGGGAGAAACATGCTGAAGATGATCAGCCGTATAGCCGTGGTCTTGGTCAGATTCCTTTCAGACAAGCTGAAGTAAGAAGAAGGAACCACTCGTTTTTAAATTCAATCTACTTATACAATGTACATTCCTATTACAGGTTTACTAACACTTTGGTTGATTGGCGGGTAGCTTCCACAAAGGCAGCCGGCGTTTCGTTTCACGTCCCAGGCAGCCCTGGGTGCCACTGCGGGCCGTGCGCAGTTGGCGGTCCGCGAGGACTTTGCCATCGACGAGGTCGCGACGCTCCTTTGGGAGGACATCGAGAGTGAGAGACGGTCACTGGATGGGGGTGGCCTTGACCGGGCTGCGAGACCGGGTGGCCTTGGAGTATTGAATTTAGCGATGTAGCTTTTCACCAGCTTTTTCACCAGCATTTATGTCTTGACCAAGTCCTGAGTTACACAACCAGCTAGTGGCATTCACATGTCTCATGCAACTCAAAGGCTCCAGCCATGGCACTTGCCTAGCTTGGTTCCCCGTGCAGCTTCACGCAGGAGAGCGACCCACGCCCCAAGCAGCCGGTGGAGGTGGTGACCCTCAAGGAGGTACTTTCACGGGCGCAAAGCGCTTTCCCACTGCTCAAGGGCGCTGATCGGATCTTCCTACTGAAGTTGGACATTGAAGGCGCGTGGCAGCCATGAACAACACCACTGTGGGCTGTGGGTCAATATGTACGATCCCCAGTCAACCATGTTCAAGCTACAGTATATTAATATCAATCTCATGTGTTCTTTTTTTCTCGGTATTTCTCCTCACGTTGGTACTGGGTTTTCACATGCTTTCACCCACCTAATATTACCCATTCTGCGAGGGAAAGCGCTCTTCTCTGCCAGGCCTGGAGCCTTTGGTGCTGCGGTCCTTGACTTCGGCTCCGGTGAAGTTCGTGAGCTTCGAATATGCGGCGAACGTCTGGAAGGAGCCGTTGGCGCCGGTGGTGGAAGACTTGTAGCTCGGAAAGTCACATCATTTCCCGCGAGAGAAGGGGTGGTGAGCATCGGCAGACGGGACAACAGGAACCTCAAAAGGAAGCTGGGAGCTGGGAGCCCCGTTCGTAGCGTCCGATCGCTTCTAGTAGCGATGCCCTTTGCTCCCAGTAGCGTCCTCGGTGGATCTGGGAGTTCACATGACTCTGAAGAAACCACTTGAACATGCTTGAACTCTGTTTTGTGTGACTGCTAGCTAGGCGGGAAATCACAGGGACCCTCAACTCTGAGAAGTGGATGGCGCCGAAACAAACCTCTTACTTCATGACTCATGTTTCGTTCCTTCCCGCCAAGTCGTTGGGTGGATCAAGAAAATGCCGAGCGCGGCACTGGGACCATTTTATTCGCTCCCAGTGCAGAGACCGAACCACCAACATGCTATGCAGTGCCATGCCATGCGAACAGTGCCCAACGCAGGCATCGCGCCGGGTACTTTTGCTTCTTGATCACCTCGGAGCCCTGGATGCAACGAGAATTCAAGTTCGGTGGAGGACTGGGAGAAAATGGTGCACCCTAACGTGCTACTAGTAGCTTCTTGTTGCTAGTAGTAAGGCCAGGAGCTACTAGTAGCGTCCTTGCTCCTAGTAGCGATGCCCTTTGTTACTAGTAGCTTCTTGTTACTAGTAAGGCTCACTTTGACTTTGGACCATCATGAGTCGAGGGATGGAGCAAGCACTCAGGAGCATCTCTTCCCGGTGTCCGGACCCTTCTGGAGCAATATCTTTGAGCTCCCCATGTGGAGCAACTTCATCTGCGGCAAGGAGGGCGACCGAGACTTTGGCCCATCCCAATGAGCTGTGACCGTTTCGGCTGTGACAGCTGCCCCACAGTTTTGGCATTCTCCGGGTTAGTTAGGTCCCGCGTGCCACTCAACACATGACAGATGGAAGTAAATATGGCCTCGTAGCCACATATGACTGTTGACTTTTGTGTTAAAGGAACGCCAAGCAGATGAAAGGTACATACGGGACATGAATAGCCACCATCAAACGATCAGGCATGGTGAGTATACAGAGATGTTTTCTAGAACCTCTGTCAGGCAGTTTTTGACGCCTGGGGCATGGACCAAACGCCAGGCACTTCTGGCTTGAACATTTGGTTTCTTATTGGTTTCTTCATGTTGCTTCCTTCCAGACGAAGGGTGAGGTACGTAAGTGGATCATGAACATTAAGAACTTTTGAGTCTAGTCGCTGATCTCAACTGATCTCTCATCCGATCTCGCCTGATGACCACATTGATGACCACATTTAGCTCCCCTTGCAATCTCCCAAGGAGACTTGGAAGCTTTGGTTCAGCTGCACGTCGGCGCCATTGGCTTGTGGCCGCGGATGCCCAAGGCCTATCTGCCCGACTTCAGCGGCGAAGGCATGGCCACGAACCTCTTGGAGGCGCAGCATTGGTGCACCGAGACTGGGACTGAAGGTAGGCACCAAAGGTCTGGGTCGGTTGGAGGTATGAGCTTTTTTGCTTTGCTGATTGATCCTATTGCGATTTATGGCGATTTATTGCGTATTAGCTGCAATGTTGCTTCGCCCCATTTTTGACAAAACGGCGGGACATTCAATAGCCGCTTTGCAAGCAAAGGGTGTTTTTCAGCGAAGGGTATGGAGAGGAGCTGACGCACCTTTTCAAGTGGAGGTCGTAAATGCTGGTCAAGGTCTCAATTTGCCTGAAAAGGAGAGATGGATTTCAAGTTTCCGTGTGATTGCCTCCCTTTGTGGAACCTTAACCGCCCCCTAATTCTCCACCCCTAAGCCAGCGGCTTGCGGTTTTCACAGGCCATTTGCGGTCGAAAGGCCATGTTTGTTTGTTTGTTTGTTGAACAAAAACATTGTTTGTTGTGACTCTGTTTCATCCTTTTCCAACGAGGATTTCGGCGACCTTTGCGCTGGCGTCACCTGCGATGGCGACGTGGACTGGCGGGTGGGTCCGCAGCGGTGCACCGCGCGGCGGGGCCGCGGCACGCTGCGGCAGTCGCCCACTGAAGAAGTGAGCTACTTGAAAGATGTGTCATACAGCAGCTTGGTTGAAGTTGTCATACTTTTCGATATGTTGAATGCTTCTTCATAAAGAAAACGAGGAATCCCAATGATACACATGCTTCTTGCTTGATGTGTTTTTTGGTTTCTAGTCCCATGTTTCTTTTGGATGGGATAACTTCACTTGGATGAGGAGTTCAGGCGATGATTCTGAAAGCTCTGTCTTGAGGTACCCGGGTACACGAGGTGATTTTTTTTTCCAGTCACACGAGTTTTTCTTGTTCACAGTGCGTTTTGGATGCTCGTAGACGCTGATAATCTCATCACATGGTCCTTGATTCAATCTGAAACACCTGGCTTGTCCAGACGCAAGCAGGCAATCTGTATCTCCGCTACCGGTTGGAGCTGCAACGCGAGTTGCTAAAAGAGCGCGCTGATGGATGGTCACCACCGACTTGTTGGCACGCCTCAGCACCAACAGACGAGTCAAAGGACACACTGCACACTGCACAAACCAATACTTCAAAATGGCCTTGGACATCCTTGGGCACACCATTCAAATCACATTCAATTGCTGTGTTCATTGTGAATGCTAAGCTCGTCGAACTATCGAGAAATGCCCAGATGTGCCCAATACCATTGTTCAGTCAACTGATCGTGCACTCCCAACTGTCTTTTTCATCCTTGGACGTTCTAAGATGACTTGGCTCGTTCTGTAACGAGGAAGCGCAGGGGATCCCTAAACCTAAGGCAGACCAGCCATCGAGTCAGTCCTCTTGGTCCCCTCCCAACCACTTGGACCTTTCTTCGGGTCGTCCGAACCAGGTCACCGGTCACCGAGTTGCTTCTCTACTTCGTCTTTCTCCCAACCCATTCGCCTTCCACTAACACTCCACCGGGTTCCACCACAGTCACCCGTGTTCTTGGACTCGACGATTTGGCTCCCGCATCGGCCTCTTCCTAGGTGGGGCGTCGAAGTGCTGCTGCACCGGTACTTTGCGAGTTCGACATGCCGCACGACGAACCCTGAGGAGGTGCGAGATGCTGAGGGTAGTCTGGCAGTCTGGTTACATGGAAAATCAGAGATTATCTAGGTTTTGAGGCCATGTTTTGAAAGGGATCGGCACATCCTGACACTTACACATGGTGGCTCACACTTTATAATTGTTGCAATACTGTAGGTACATATTCGTGAGGTCTTTGTATGCTTATGTTCCGTAGGGCCACTGGATGCCCCAAACAGTTGACAGGTGTGAACTTGGATGAACTTGGACTTTTAAAATCAAGAACTAAATGCTGGACTTTCTTTGAACATGCCACCACACTGCCTGAGTAGATGAAACATGTCCGGGCAGCCGTCAGAGGCCTTGACATTGTCAGATTTTGCTGGTCCAAGTGCATCAATAAGGAAGCAGGGTTCTACATCCTTGCATCAGTTTGCCTGCATAGGCATAGGGCATGGTCCACTACTGTAGATAAAACCTACGTACCAATACTAGAATCATATACAGTATGATCAGCATGTGTCTTTGCATCAAGACGTAGTCGACCGGGTCGATCGTCTGGGTACGTCTGGGTATGGCTGGGTCAGGCCGACCTCTTTCTGGTGCCCGACTACCGTGCCTGCCACCTGCATTTGGCGAGGGGCCGAAGAGATCAATGAGAGAGCTGCCACTGCTTCAGGAGACTCGTCTCCAACTCCAACGATTTTTCTTCTTCCATTTGCAATTCTTCTTTCCAAAGGAGGCAGCCTTAAAGCAAACACTCACATGATGCAAGCTTCAGTTTCACGGAACAGGACAAAAAAAAATCAGAGTGGTCTGATGTCCAGCCTCGGGGTTTCTACGGCTCGCGGGTCCCGAGCCTGAGGCGCCCACCTACATGCACAAGGGCCTCACCCGGATCGAAGGCCGGCTGGCTGCTGCGTCTGCAGATGTTTCGACTGCACGGCAGATTTGGATCCATAGGCATTCGCAGTCACGGCAGGGTATTCTAGAGTGTTGATTTGAAAAGACCACCGGCTGCCCTTGGAATGAGAATTCGAGGGTCAATTTATTTCTGTGATTCTTAATGGACATGGACGAGGTGGATAGAATTTCCTGCAATAAAGCAAACCAAGGAAGCCATAAAAGAAATACAACTAAATAACACAACACAAAACGAAAGGTCCAATAGGTAGGGATCACATAACACATGTGCGTGTCATCCCACTGGGCAGGTGATGACTATCATTCCCAGATCATCCGCAACCACAAAGACAAGTGGCCATCTCAGTGGGACCAGAGCACTGCCATCCTCCAAGCAGGATGTCCCAAAGGACGCACACTTCGAACTTTGCCAGCAGATAGAGGAATCCTATGGAATCCTTTCAGGCATCATGTCCCGTCATGTGAAGATCTTGGATGTTCTCACTCCTGTCTTCGAGACCATGAACTGCCTGATTGGGCTTCAGACGCCAGCTTCACCCGACAATTCGTCGTTAGACATGTGCACACTGAATCCATGAATTCACGGCGCTCCATTGGATTACGAGGCAGGCGGAACCGCCCAGTCCGGCAAAGGTACCGACACCCTGATCAAGCAGAGGCACAATTCCAGGCGCTTGAAGTCGTGGCGCCGCGACCGCCGAAGAACTGGTCGTGGCACCGCGACGTTGTGAGGAAAATGCAAACGTCTTGATGCCGACAAGTTCCAGCCCCACCTCGTCTTTTCATATCTTTTCATTGGTGGCGCGGTGCCCTCTGCAGTGCGTCGTAGTAGTAGTAGTAGTAGTAGACCAAATTGGCCAGCCAAACAAGTTCATTCCTTGACATCAAAGTGCAATGTTGATGTGCTATGCTATTTTTTTAGCCCTAGGACTTCAGCCTCAGAGGGCTTGCAACAAAGATAAGAAGGACGGCGCTGTGTCGACCCGGAACAGGAGCTGCTCAAGTCGCTCAAGTACTTTGCCAAAGCCTCAAGTGCTCAAGCCCGCAGTAGCACTGGCTGCTTGCGGATGGAACAAAAAAGGCTCTGCACAGTTTTGACGGCGAAGTTGTTTTTCGAATCCTTTTTTCCTAAGTGCTCCTTACTTGGTGCCGGTAGAATGACCAGGGCACTAGTATTTTGCTCAGATTCAAGGCCCATTCAATAGGAGCGGTAGTATTGGCTGTGAGTGCAAGTGACTACTTGCCCACCCTCGGACATGGGCTGCGGAGCTCAGGATCGGAAGCAGGGCATGGATCACATCTTCATTTTCTCGGACGGGATGAGGGGAGTTGAGTTCTGGGATGATGAGGTAAATCATGGTAAATCATTGCAAATCCGTATGCTGGTCTACATGAACTTGTCAAGGTGTGTTATTGAGACGGAGCGCTGGATCCATTCATCCAGATTCCGAGATTTATTTCCTACTAGTTACTAGTGATCACCAGCAAAGTTTAGTGAGATGATCCCCTTGAGCCATGCCTTTTCCAAGGTCACACATGACTCCTGGCACCAGGATCAGGGCTTTATCGTGAATTTCACTCACACCTTTCCCTCCTGGCGAGCCAACGCCTCATTGAGAGTGCTATTCAAGTGCACGGAGAGTTGAGAGTTTGCTGTGTGGAGGTGAAGTTTGCATTTGGAAATCAATGTCATGTGCCATGTGTCAAAGGGGTGCCAAGGGGAAAAACCCTTTTGTTCCAGTTGATTCCAAGTTTTTGTTGATTAGAGGATCCTGTCGCACTGACAGGAAACGCCTGTTTCCGGCCTGGTCAGGGCTCCAGAGCCCACAAATCTCGCCGGCATTGAGGATCACATTGCCCACTCCATTTTTCTGACCACAGAGGCCAAGAGGGGAGCACGTCAAGGACTTGTGACTCATGACATCATGAAGGACGTATCCTGATTGCGCTGCTACACAGCTTCCAAAGAAACTGAAGCGTCACAAAGGGACATCGTCATCCATACCATTTGGAGTCTTTCCCATCTGGGAGTTTCGTCGTGTCCAGACACCTGCCTTCCAAAACACCCCCTTGATGGAGGAATCTAGTGCCAAAGGTGAGGGTGGCCGAATTGACCTAACGTCCAGCCACGGGAGGCCTTTACACCTGGATGCGGCCCCAGCTGCTTCTCGCCGTGGAAGGCCGCTCTGCGTGGCGTAGGTGGTGGGTTAGAAAGCCCGTTGGGCCCGTTGGGGTGATGTTGAGGGATGTCTCAGCTGGATTCAGCTAGAGGATAGTCTCTCAATCACCAATTCACTAACCATCTCGAGCATGTTCTGAGGGGTTGACGGCAAAGAAGACCCTCCCAAGCTTCACAATCATCGCTTTAAAGTCAGGCCCACCTCAAAATCACCCAGATTCTGTTGAGTATGGATTGCTTTGTGTGTACTATAGGACCAGAGGTGTAGGTCAATTTCAGGAAGGCATGAAGTGTTGTTTCACGTTTGCCAGAGAACAACCTATGCAATAGGAAGCTCCTAGCGGGGCCAGACACTATTTGTCCAGACATGCTGATGTACGAGTTATCATCCTTTGGCTGCCCAAAGTCTTTGTTGAGAAAAATGGTTTGCTTCAAGTCAACATGCAAGCTTTGCCTAACTTCAAGCACAAATCAGAGGTCAAAACAGGGCTGCATGAGCTGAAACATCTCTAGCCACCAAACTTGACGCATCCACTCTTGCGTTGCAAACGTCTCAATGCCAATCTGGAGCAGTTCAATCCGGGAAGCAGTTGAGCTTGGCCATGACCTGTGTACCAACAGACTAAACAGGAAGGGCCCCGGTTTGCCCCCAGGACCCTTCAGTTTTTCCCCTTGTCCCAGCCGTTGTTTGACTTTTCCAACAGGATGCTGTTATCCCAGGCACGTGGCGCGTTTAGAGTGCTGATCGCGAAAGTGGGGTTTTGAGATGGTTTTAGTTATATATATATATACAAAGAAATGCAATTGTTGCAGCTGGTCTAATCTGTTCCTGTTGTGCCCAACCTTTTCTTCAACAGGAGTGTAATGGATTCCAGAACTTGAACTTGCTTTGCCTGGCCCTGTGTTCACAACAAACCACTCTTGTGCTGACTGGACTCAAGCAGTCTTACACATTCTTGCAGTACCAAAACTACAATGTGCAACCATGTTAAAGGTCAAGCAATCAGAAGGCTTTTTGAAGAGGATCAACGACAATCTGCAACCAGAAGGCTGTTTGAGGATCGACCGAGCTTCCAAGCTTTTTTCAGGCCACATCGACATGGAGAGGTTTGAACGCATTGCCAGCTTCAATCAGCCAACCAGCAATCGAAGTGGAGACCTCAAGGATCCTCAAGGGGTTGCCCGCATTAACACCTCCTTGCAGTATGAATGACTTCGCATGATTTGGTCATTGAGAAGAGCTTTCTGTTCCACGCTTGGCAAAATTCACACTGAACTGCAGAGTTATGATAGATGATCTACTGCGGGTGCACTTTAAAAAAACTGGGTTGTGGAGGTAGAAGAAAGACAAGAACCACATGCCATTTGGCGTATTGACTCAGCCGATGGTAAGCCTTAATCAACAAGGTGAGGATGGCAGGCGTTTGTGCGCCATTCGCCCCAAATGACCCTAAACCGTGAGGTTTCCTCTTCAACTTCCATGGACGATTGCCGGTGAACCACGACTACTATGAGCCTGGAGCTCAGAGACCATAGCAGGTCGTCCGGTGAAATACGACACCGCACCTTGCCGTGGCTTCTGTGACCTCGCACGTTGGCAAACATGAATCCTTTGGCGAGCCCAAGGTGAAATATGACCATTATGACCCTGAGAAGGGGCTGTTTCGCTTGAAAGAGATTTTCCACAATGTGTGTGTGAACGCCAAGTAGCTGAAAGCTGGTGGGTTGGATTCACTTCTTCAGCTACCATTAGGTTCGAACCACTGAGACAAGAGTCTCTGAGCTAAACAGCCGATTCAACAATTCAACTATGCCGAATGAAACTGTTGGAGAATCAATCATGCATCAACTCCCTACTGAACTGTTTTTTGAATGTTCCTCAACTTCTCTACCTTCAGCATTGATCAGATGCCATCGGCCCCTCAAGGAAGGTCTCTGTCCGAAAGGCGCTCTTGCAGTTCGAGCGGCTGGCAGATGTGAGCGTTTGGGACTCCTGGCGCGTTCAGGATGAACGGGTGGAGGGATGGGCCAGAGGAACGGAGGAACCGAGGGAGGAATGGAGGAAAGTTGTGTAATTACATAGAATCCTTTGTTTTTGCTGCTGTTTGTCACTGGAAGACCAAGCTTGGGAAGCTTCCTCTAGCCTCTCAAACCATCTTAAACCTCCCTGCAGGCCGTCACGAAAGGGGCTTTCTGGGCAACCCTAGATGATGTGCATGTGGAGCTCAACCCCTTTGGTTTTGCCCAAAGTGCGCTGCTGAGGTGGGTGGCTTCATTGAGGAATACTTCGAAGTCATGGGCAGCTTGGAGAGGAAAAGCCTTGGAGAGGATCCCCAAAACGGAAGTGCAGGCAGCCACATGTGACATGTGTTTTGGCACCTTTGCAGATACTCCCTACTATTTATTGTAGGGAGTACGGACTCGGTGTTTTAGGATGCAATGCATATGCTGCGCTTAGATCTCTGCGGTGCTCCCTGCTAGTGTATGTCTCAAGTTTGCATTTCTTCATTTCCCACTTCCCCAAGCATCCCAAGGTATCAGAGTGACGGCTGATTGAGAATCTGCCCAAAGTATGTCTCACAATCAACTAAGTAACTCAGACCCTTGACATCGAGTCAGTCACTCATATTCATGATGATACATGCTGATCCATTTGGTCCCCAAGTGATGAAACCTGACCGTCTTTGCACTCAAAACATCCAGGCAAAATGTGGGGAACTCACAGCTGTTGATGAATCTAGGCAGCAGCCATTTCTGCTTGGTGCCAGAGGGCACCTCTTCCTGGACGCCACTTGGCCCAGATGGAGACATTGGATGAGTGGGCTTGGAACGTCAGGGCTTACGGCACAAGGGGAACCCTGAAAATTTATGGGTTTGCATTCGTGTCAAGATCTAACCAAATGTTGCGCAAGTTTCAAACAACAGAACTTGGAGTAATTCGATCGAGCGCATGAGACATCCGTGTCTACCCTATCAGAAACACAGCCCATCAAAGGCAGGCAAGCGCAAGACGGACTCGATGACTCGGTCGATCCAAGGAATCACCTTTACGAGAGCTTCTTTGCTGGGTGCATTCCACTCATCCTCTCCGACCGCTACGTCCTGCCCTTCCAGGCCAGAGAATAGGGTCTGGCCACACGTGCAGCCTCGAATCCAATGATCAGGTCTGAAGAAGAGAACATCTTTGCTACACCATGTAAAGCATTTCTTATTTTCGATGAACAGTCGCTGCAAAACGGTGTTTTACTATGGTAGAAACCCGGGTGTTCTACCACCTGAACCGGCGCACGCCCCGACGTGCGTCCCCGATGGAGCTCCACGGGGTTCTCCCGATGGAAACCGACTCGAGCGACTCGAGGATCTGATCGACTGGCCATCGCTGAGCGTGCGCTGGCCACAGGCCGAGCGGTGCTCCAGAAGGGATGAGGCTTTCAATGGTTTCACTTTATCGATCAATTGCATGATGTGCACAGCTGTGGAAAGCTGGTTGCTTGGGGCTGAACACTTGGAGATTTGAGATGCTCCTAAAATTCAATGCAACATGGGCCCCTTGATTCATCCAGCGGTGACACAGAGCCTTCGAGTCTTTGGAATCAGTGCTGGTGAGGACGCCGTGTCCTTGGAGATGTACGTCTACGTGAAGGACTCCATGCTTTTTCCATGGCGAGGCTGTGCAGTATCTTGCCAATTTGCCTTCAATCACACACGCACGCACACACTTGAGAAGGTTGCTCCGTGGAGCGTGATTTCAGGTAGCTTC